TAGAGATTTTTTTGGTTAAAAATTTCAGAATAACTGTTATTTACAGTCCCTGAAAATTTTCTATTAAAATATTGTTTTTCGAAAACTCCTTATAATTTTCAATTGAAGCAATAATTATTTTTTTATATTATTTTCGTATATTGATATTGACCCTGAGTTAGCTTTCAAATAATCTTAATTAAATTTAAGTTTTCCTGCTCTCTGTAATCTTTCTTATCAATTCAATTGAAAGTTAAATGACTGAAAAAATAAAGAAATTATCATTGAAGCAGGAAAAATTTGTTTAGTTACATCTTCTTACTACTACTTCTTCTTCTTCTTCAACTAAATTAAAACCTTTCAACAAAATTGACATGTATTTAGAAGAAAAAAAAGTTAAGAAAAAAAAAATTGTTTTGTCATTTTAAATCTTTTTCTCTTCTAATTTTATTTTCTTTAACAAAAGCTATGAAAATAAAAGAAAAACTATATGAAAACTTACGAAATTGTGTGAAAATTAAAAAAACTACGAAGAATTGATTGAGAAATTGACAAGACATTGTTAGAAAAACTTTGATAGTCAATTGGCAGAATGACTAAATAACTTGAAGAGAATTAAGCAGAATTTTGAAAGGGGATTTTAAAGTTGATACTAGTTTTTCGTTAAAAAAAAGTAAGAAAATTAATTAAGGATATTGAAGAGTAGTTAAAATTAAAGTAATTAAGATAAAAAAGTTCTTTTTAAATAACCTTTAACAAAATTGTTGCATATTTTTATTTGAATTTTTCTTTGCAAAAAGTAATTTTAATTTATTTTCATAGTAAAACATATTTGAATTATTTATGCTTGGTTACCTACCCACCCTTCTACTAAAAGTATTTTCCTAACTAAAAATTTGTCAAATATATTTTCTTTTATTACATTTTCATAATTCTCTGCATAGTTTTAAAATCCACCTGGTAGTTGTTAAACAATGGCATCAGCAGCATTAGTTTGTTTTCCCGCTAACAATGGCTACCGGTAGCAGTTCTGAGACTAATATATTTAGCTTTAAAATGTTAACAATAGAATACAATAGAGACCAAAATTTTATATAAAAATATATAAATACTTGGAACTAGAAGTCCTACATAAATACATATTGTCAATGTACTATGTATTACTTGTGAAGTAATAAAATTTGCAAAAAATTGTTTAATTTTTTTCTGAAGAATTTTAATTGTTTTGAAAATAATACAAATTTTAAATAAATGACCAAAATATAAGCTGGCATTTTAAATAATTTCGCATTTTAATCTGGCCTGCATTATATTATTCTTACACAAGTGTTTTTGAATTATTTGTGTTGACTATGCCTTTTGAATATAAAATGAATTTAAAACGGTTTCAATTTTGAAAAAAAAAAATATATATAATTTTCAATACGCGCAACTGAAGGTGTATATTTGATAGGTAGACATATAATAAGAAAGAAATAATGAGTAATGAATGTAGTCTATAGTCTAGTCTATAATCAAGTCTAGAACCTACTCTAGAGTCTATAGTCTAGTCTAGAGCCTAGAGTTTAGTCTATAGTTGATCCTATAGTTGAGTCTATAGTTGAGTCTATAGTTGAGTCTATAGTTGAGTCTATAGTTGAGTCTATAGTTGAGTCTATAGTTGAGTCTATAGTTGAGTCTATAGTTGAGTCTATAGTGAGTCTATAGTTGAGTCTATAGTTGAGTCTATAGTTGAGTCTATAGTTGAGTCTATAGTTGAGTCTATAGTTGAGTCTATAGTTGAGTCTATAGTTGAGTCTATAGTTGAGTCTATAGTTGAGTCTATAGTTGAGTCTATAGTTGAGTCTATAGTTGAGTCTATAGTTGAGTCTATAGTTGAGTCTATAGTTGAGTCTATAGTTGAGTCTATAGTTGAGTCTATAGTTGAGTCTATAGTTGAGTTTATAGTTGAGTCTATAGTTGAGTCTATAGTTGAGTCTATAGTCTAGTCTATAGTTGAGTCTATAGTTGAGTCTATAGTTGAGTCTATAGTTGAGTCTATAGTTAAGTCTATAGTTGAGTCTATAGTTGAGTCTATAGTTGAGTCTATAGTTGAGTCTATAGTTGAGTCTATAGTTGAGTCTATAGTTGAGTCTATAGTTGAGTCTATAGTTAGTCTATAGTTAAGTCTATAGTTGAGTCTATAGTTAGTCTATAGTCTAGTCTATAGTCTAGTCTATAGTCTAGTCTATAGTCTAGTCTATAGTCTAGTCTATAGTCTAGTCTATAGTCTAGTCTATCTAGTCTATAGTCTAGTCTATAGTCTAGTCTATAGTCTAGTCTATAGTCTAGTCTATAGTCTAGTCTATAGTCTAGTCTATAGTCTAGTCTATAGTCTAGTCTATAGTCTAGTCTATAGTCTAGTCTATAGTCTAGTCTATAGTCTAGTCTATAGTCTAGTCTATAGTCTAGTCTATAGTCTAGTCTATAGTCTAGACTATAGTCTAGTCTATAGTCTAGTATATCTAGTCTATAGTCTAGTCTATAGTCTAGTCTATAGTCTAGTCTATAGTCTAGTCTATAGTCTAGTCTATAGTCTAGTCTATAGTCTAGTCTATAGTCTAGTCTATAGTCTAGTCATAGTCTAGTCTATAGTCTAGTCTATAGTCTAGTCTATAGTCTAGTCTATAGTCTAGTATATAGTCTAGTCTATAGTCTAGTCTATAGTCTAGTCTATAGTCTAGTCTATAGTCTAGTATATAGTCTAGTCTATAGTCTAGTCTATAGTCTATAGTCTAGCTATAGTCTAGTCTATAGTCTAGTCTATAGTCTAGTCTATAGTCTAGTCTATAGTCTAGTCTATAGTCTAAGTCAGTCTATAGTCTAGTCTATAGTCTAGTCTATAGTTTCTAGTCTATAGTCTAGTCTATAGTCTAGTCTATGAGTCTAGTCTATAGTCTTAGTCTATAGTTAGTCTATAGTCTAGTCTATAGTTCTAGTCTATAGTCTTAGTTCTATAGTCTACGTTCTATAGTCTAGTTCTATAGTCTAGTCTTAGTCTAGTCTATAGTCTAGTCTATAGGTCTAGTCTATAGTCTAGTCTATAGTCTAGTCTATAGTCTAGTCTCTAGTTCTAGTCTATAGTCTAGTCTATAGTCTAGTCTATAGTCTAGTCTATAGGTCTAGTCTATAGTCTAGTCTATAGTCTAGTCTTATAGTCTAGTCTATAGTCTAGTCTATAGTCTAGTCTATTAAGTATCGTCTATGAGTCTAGTCTATAGTCTAGCTTATAGTAGTCTTATAGTTAGTCTATAGTCTAGTCTATAGTCTAGGTCTATAGTTGTCCTAGTCTAGTTCTATAGTCTAGTCTATAGTCTAGTCTATAGTCTAGTCTATAGTTAGTCTAGTCTATAGTCTAGTCTATAGTCTAGTCTATAGTCTAGTCTATAGTCTAGTCTATAGTCTAGTCTATAGTCTAGTCTATAGTCTAGTCTATAGTCTAGTCTATAGTCTAGTCTATAGTCTAGTCTATAGTCTAGTCTATAGTCTAGTCTATAGTCTAGTCTATAGTCTAGTCTATAGTCTAGTCTATAGTCTAGTCTATAGTCTAGTCTATAGTCTAGTCTATAGTCTTCTATAGTCTAGTCTATAGTCTAGTCTATAGTCTAGTCTATAGTCTAGTCTATAGTCTAGTCTATAGTCTAGTCTATAGTCTAGTCTATAGTCTAGTCTATAGTCTAGTCTATAGTCTAGTCTATAGTCTAGTCTATAGTCTAGTCTATAGTCTAGTCTATAGTCTAGTCTATAGTCTAGTCTATAGTCTAGTCTATAGTCTAGTCTATAGTCTAGTCTATAGTCTAGTCTATAGTCTATCTATAGTCTAGTCTATAGTCTAGTCTATAGTCTAGTCTATAGTCTAGTCTATAGTCTAGTCTATAGTCTAGTCTATAGTCTAGTCTATAGTCTAGTCTATAGTCTAGTCTATAGTCTAGTCTATAGTCTAGTCTACTAGTCTAGTCATAGTCTAGTCTATAGTCTAGTCTATAGTCTAGTCTATAGTCTAGTCTATAGTCTAGTCATAGTCTAGTCTATAGTCTAGTCTATAGTCTAGTCTATAGTCTAGTCTATAGTCTAGTCTATAGTCTAGTCTATAGTCTAGTCTATAGTCTAGTCTATAGTCTAGTCTATAGTCTAGTCTATAGTCTAGTCTATAGTCTAGTCTATAGTCTAGTCTATAGTCTAGTCTATAGTCTAGTCTATAGTCTAGTCTATAGTCTAGTCTATAGTCTAGTCTATAGTCTAGTCTATAGTCTAGTCTATAGTCTAGTCTATAGTCTAGTCTATAGTCTAGTATAGTCTAGTCTATAGTCTAGTCTATAGTCTAGTCTATAGTCTAGTCTAGTCTAGTCTATAGTCTAGTATGTAGTCTAGTCCTATAGTCTAGTCTATAGTCTAGTCTATAGTCTAGTCTATAGTCTAGTCTATAGTCTAGTATAGTCTAGTCTATAGTCTAGTCTATAGTCTAGTCTGTAGTCTAGTCTATAGTCTAGTCTATAGTCTAGTCTATAGTCTAGTCTATAGTCTAGTCTATAGTCTAGTCTATAGTCTAGTCTATAGTCTAGTCTATAGTCTAGTCCTAGTATAGTCTAGTCTCGTTATAGTCTAAGTCTATAGTCTAGTCTATAGTCTAGTCTATAGTCTAGTCTATAGTCTAGTCTATAGTCTAGTCTATAGTCTAGTCTATAGTCTAGTCTATAGTCTAGTCTATAGTCTAGTCTATAGTCTAGTCTATAGTCTAGTCTATAGTCTATTCTGTAGTCTAGTCTATAGTCAAGTCTATAGTCCTAGTCTGTAGTCTAGTCAATAGTCTGTAGTCTTGTCTATAGTTTAGTCTAATCTGTAGTATGGTCTATTCTTTGGTCTAGTCTATAATATAGTCAATAAAATTTTAAAAATATTTATTTTTTTTAGTTTGAGATTCGTATTTGTATTATATTTACTTCTTGATCTTAATTCATAATTCTTTTCTAATATATTTGCAGTTGTTAACCAAAAATATACAGTACAAGTACACGATGAGTATGTGATGGCTGGCAATACGGCGGTTTTGAAATGTCAAGTAAGTTTTTCTATGTATTTGATTAAGTACGACGTACATACATTACTTATGACCTTAATGTGATTTAGATATAAAAGTAGTTTTATACTCATATTAAAAATGTTTAATACTTCTTTGTCCATTTTTATCATTTAATAATACAAAAATTATTACTTACATAAACCAAGCTTTTACTTTGTAGAGTATCTTCTCTTCATTTGATATGTGTTGAAATGACCTTCCCTCCCTTTTTATGGTATTTTGTTATTTATTTTCCTTTGTTAGTTTTCATTTTTTAATTATATTTGCATACGAATAGAAAAATTCTCATCATCTCCAGGTGTGTTTCAAACGAAAATGAAGAAAAACTACAAAAATTAAATAAAATTTATATTAGTTTAGAGAAATAATGGTATTTTTATTAAAAATTTCAGGAAGAATTAAAAGAATTGTATGCAAAAAATTGTTGATTGAAAAAAATCAAAAATTTTGATTTAACAAAGAGCTTAAAAATATAAAATTTTAACTGAAAAACTATAAAAATTGTTTAAAGTTAGCTATTCCAAAGATATGTTTGGGTGTAGTTTACTCTTCTAATTAAATATTTTGTTCGCTTACAAAAACTGCATTACTAACCAGAGTTCCTTTCATTTTCCCTTTTTCTATACCTCAACCCATATTAGTTGTTATTAGAATAATTAAATCTTCCCCTGTAATCCAAAATGTGTTCATGTGAAAGTTTGTTTTCTTATTTCATTTTGTTTTAATTTTTACATCCATTCATTAACTATTTTTATCAACTTTTGTTCAAATATGTATGTATGTAGTTACTTTGGATTTTATTCTTCCTACGACATTAATTGTTATGTTGTCTTCTTTTCCTTTCGTCATCATTTATCGTTATTTAATCGATTTTATTTTTCATTTTTGCTTACAGGTACCAAGTTATATGTCAGAATTTGTTATGGTCACTGCATGGGTGCAGGATACAGGCATGCATTTATATCCCAATACCGACATTGGTGGCAAATATACGATATTGTCGAATGGTGAATTGTATATAAATAATGCAGGACCAAATGATGCGTATAAAAGTTATACATGTCGGACGGTAAATCGTTTAACAGGTAAGATCATACATTTATTTCGAATAACTAAAAATGTTATTCTTCATTTCTAGTTTAGATCTAGTTTAGTTCTAGTTCAGTTCTAGTTCAGTTCTAGTTCAGTTCTAGTTCAGTTCTAGTTCAGTTCTAGTTCAGTTCTAGTTCAGTTCTAGTTCAGTTCTAGTTCAGTTTCTAGTTCAGTTCTAGTTCAGTTCTAGTTCAGTTCTAGTTCAGTTCTAGTTCAGTTCTAGTTCAGTTCTTCTAGTTCAGTTCTAGTTCAGTTCTAGTTCAGGTTCTAGTTCAGTTCTAGTTCAGTTTCTAGTTCAGTTCTAGTTCAGTTCTAGTTCAGTTCTAGTTCAGTTCTAGTTCAGTTCTAGTTCAGTTCTAGTTCAGTTCTAGTTCAGTTCTAGTTCAGTTCTAGTTCAGTTCTAGTTCAGTTCTAGTTCAGTTCTAGTTCAGTTCTAGTTCAGTTCTAGTTCAGTTCTAGTTCAGTTCTAGTTCAGTTCTAGTTCAGTTCTAGTTCAGTTCTAGTTCAGTTCTAGTTTCAGTTCTAGTTCAGTTCTAGTTCAGTTCTAGTTCAGTTCTAGTTCAGTTCTAGTTCAGTTCTAGTTCAGTTTCTAGTTCAGTTCTAGTTCAGTTTCTAGTTCAGTTCTAGTTCAGTCAGTTCTAGTTCAGTTCTAGTTCAGTTCTAGTTCAGTTCTAGTTCAGTTCTAGTTCAGTTCTAGTTCAGTTCTAGTTCAGTTCTAGTTCAGTTCTAGTTCAGTTCTAGTTCAGTTCTAGTTCAGTTCAGTTCTAGTTCAGTTCTAGTTCAGTTCTAGTTCAGTTCTAGTTCAGTTCTAGTTCAGTTCTAGTTCAGTTCTAGTTCAGTTCTAGTTCAGTTCTAGTTCAGTTCTAGTTCAGTTCTAGTTCAGTTCTAGTTCAGTTCTAGTTCAGTTCTAGTTCAGTTCTGGTTCAGTTCTAGTTCAGCTCATGTTAGTAGTAATTTTATATTATTTAACTTCGCTTTTAAATATACTTAAGTCAATTATTCAAATCTAATCATTTCAAACCCGTCAATTCAAATTTATCTTCCTTTACTGACTTTGTAGGTTTTTTCAATTCTCTTAAATTGGATGTTTTAAAAAACAGATGTGAACTTGGTATTATTAAATAATGACTCAATATTTCAAATCAGCAGTTCATCATCAGATGTTGTTGATTTAAAAAAATTAACGATGTAAAACCGTTATTACAAAATTACCAACACACCATTTGCTTTATTATGTGGCAATGATTTTTTTCTGCCATCAAAAGCACTCAGCGATATTAAGAGCAAATGTAAAATAAAGATTACAAAAATTACAATTAATAAATTTAAAACGGCTCAATTAACAAATTAACGTTTATATGAATATAAAAGAATAACGAATGTTTAAAAATAAAACAAAAAAAAATTATTATAAGGGTATAAAACCACATAGAATTATCTAAAGGTCATTGGAGAGAGAACGTATTAACAATGTTGCAATATCATTAGCCAATTGCAATGTGTATAATTATCATAAATCTAACTGACCTGTTCATTCAATGTTGCTTTTTTGCCTTCAAAATGTTAATATTGATTTCAATGAAAAGAAAATAATTACAAAAGCTAAATAATTATTATGATATGGGGTTTAAGAGGAAATTTATAGAATGTTTATATGATTTCAAAAGCAGATCTGTTTATACACACATGTATACATAAATACATTACGTATGTATGTTTGTGTTTGTTTTGTGTATTAGTTTTACATTTGAGCAACGAAATACATATACATAAAATATATAAAGCTCATTATTGGAAAATTAGTGTAAATTTAATCACACATTCAGTAAACCGATATTGACGCATTCATAATAATTTTAACTTTATGCCAAAAAACACACACTTGGATACGAGTATTAAATATTTATACAAATCATGAAAACATTCCAACCCAGGGAATAATATTTCTGAACTGAACTAGAACTGAACTAGAACTGAACTAGAACTGAACTAGAACTGAACTAGAACTGAACTAGAACTGAACTAGAGCTGAACTCGAACTGAACTAGAACTGAACTAGAGCTGAACTAGAACTGAACTCGAACTGAACTAGAACTGAACTAGAACTGAACTAGAACTGAACTAGAACTGAACTAGAACTGAACTAGAACTGAACTAGAACTGAACTAGAACTGAACTAGAACTGAACTAGACGACTAGAACTGAACTAGAACTGAACTAGAACTGAACTAGAACTGAACTAGAACTGAACTAGAACGAACTAGAACTGAACTAGAACTGAACTAGAACTGAACTAGAACTGAACTAGAACTGAACTAGAACTGAACTAGAACTGAACTAGAACTGAACTAGAACTGAACTAGAACTGAACTAGAACTGAACTAGAACTGAACTAGAACTGAACTAGAACTGAACTAGAACTGAACTAGAACTGAACTAGAACTGAACTAGAACTGAACTAGAACTGAACTAGAACTGAACTAGAACTGAACTAGAACTGAACTAGAACTGAACTAGAACTGAACTAGAACTGAACTAGAACTGAACTAGAACTGAACTAGAACTGAACTAGAACTGAACTAGAACTGAACTAGAACTGAACTAGAACTGAACTAGAACTGAACTAGAACTGAACTAGAACTGAACTAGAACTGAACTAGAACTGAACTAGAACTGAACTAGAACTGAACTAGAACTGAACTAGAACTGAACTAGAACTGAACTAGAACTGAACTAGAACTGAACTAGAACTGAACTAGAACTGAACTAGAACTGAACTAGAACTGAACTAGAACTGAACTAGAACTGAACTAGAACTGAACTAGAACTGAACTAGAACTGAACTAGAACTGAACTAGAACTGAACTAGAACTGAACTAGAACTGAACTAGAACTGAACTAGAACTGAACTAGAACTGAACTAGAACTGAACTAGAACTGAACTAGAACTGAACTAGAACTGAACTAGAACTGAACTAGAACTGAACTAGAACTGAACTAGAACTGAACTAAACTGAACTAGAACTGAACTAGAACTGAACTAGAACTGAACTAGAACTGAACTAGAACTGAACTAGAACTGAACTAGAACTGAACTAGAACTGAACTAGAACTGAACTAGAACTGAACTAGAACTGAACTACTGAACTAGAACTGAACTAGAACTGAACTAGAACTGAACTAGAACTGAACTAGAACTGAACTAAACTGAGAACTGAACTAGAACTGAACTAGAACTGAACTAGAACTGAACTAGAACTGAACTAGAACTGAACTAGAACTGAACTAGAACTGAACTAGAACTGAACTAGAACTGAACTAGAACTGAACTAGAACTGAACTAGAACTGAACTAGAACTGAACTAGAACTGACTAGAACTGAAACTAGAACTGAACTAGAACTGAACTAGAACTGAACTAGAACTGAACTAGAACTGAACTAGAACTGAACTAGAACTGAACTAGAACTGAACTAGAACTGAACTAGAACTGAACTAGAACTGAACTAGAACTGAACTAGAACTGAAACTAGAACTGAACTAGAACTGAAACTAGAACTGAACTAGAACTGAACTAGAACTGAACTAGAACCTGAACTAGAACTGAACTAGAACTGAACTAGAACTGAACTAGAACTGAACTAGAACTGAACTAGAACTGAACTAGAACTGAACTAGAACTGAACTAGAACTGAACTAGAACTGAACTAGAACTGAACTAGAACTGAACTAGAACTGAACTAGAACTGAACTAGAACTGAACTAGAACTGAACTAGAACTGAAACTAGAACTGAACTAGAACTGAACTAGAACTGAACTAGAACTGAACTAGACGGAATGAACTGAACTAGAACTGAACTAGAACTGAACTAGAACTGAACTAGAACTGAACTAGAACTGAACTAGAACTGAACTAGAACTGAACTAGAACTGAACTAGAACTGAACTAGAACTGAACTAGAACTGAACTAGAACTGAACTAGAACTGAATAGAACTGAACTAGAACTGAACTAGAACTGAACTAGAACTGAACTAGAACTGAACTAGAACTGAACTAGAACTGAACTAGAACTGAACTAGAACTGAACTAGAACTGAACTAGAACTGAACTAGAACTGAACTAGAACTGAACTAGAACTGAACTAGAACTGAACTAGAACTGAACTAGAACTGAACTAGAACTGCACTAGAACTGAACTAGAACTGAACTAGAACTGAACTAGAACTGAACTAGAACTGAACTAGAACTGAACTAGAACTGAACTAGAACTGAACTAGAACTGAACTAGAACTGAACTAGAACTGAACTAGAAGTGAACTAGAACTGAACTAGAACTGAACTAGAACTGAACTAGAACTGAACTAGAACTGAACTAGAACTGAACTAGAACTGAACTAGAACTGAACTAGAACTGAACTAGAACTGAACTAGAACTGAACTAGAACTGAACTAGAACTGAACTAGAACTGAACTAGAACTGAACTAGAACTGAACTAGAACTGAACTAGAACTGAACTAGAACTGAACTAGAACTGAACTAGAACTGAACTAGAACTGAACTTGAACTGAACTAGAACTGAACTAGAACTGAACTAGAACTGAACTAGAACTGAACTAGAACTGAACTAGAACTGAACTAGAACTGAACTAGAACTGAACTAGAACTGAACTAGAACTGAACTAGAACTGAACTAGAACTGAACTAGAACTGAACTAGAACTGAACTAGAACTGAACTAGAACTAAACTAGAACTGAACTAGAACTGAACTAGAACTGAACTAGAACTGAACTAGAACTGAACTAGAACTGAACTAGAACTGAACTAGAACTGAACTAGAACTGAACTAGAACCGAACTAGAACTGAACTAGAACTAGAACTGAACTAGAACTAGAACTGAACTAGAACTAGAACTGAACTAGAACTGAACTAGAACTGAACTAGAACTGAACTAGAACTGAACTAGAACTGAACTAGAACTGAACTAGAAC